AATGAGTTTATTAACAGGAAAGTGTTTGTAAATGTTTAACTAAAAGTACAATAAGATTAATAAGGGCTGAATAAATACTAATTAATGACATGTTAACAGTGTTGGGAAGGTTATTTTTAAAATGTAATCCCCTACAGATTACAGATTACACACACCAAAATGTAGTTTGTAACAGAATCCATTAAATTACTTAAAGTGAGTAATGTAATCTGAATACTTTGAATTACTTGATTTGCTGTAGAGAAACAAAGACGAGGAAATCGTAACATAAGAAGTTTTATCTGATAAAAGAAAATAAAAAGTCCAGATTTTACTGAATCAAATTAAAAATATTATTGATAGAAGAAGAAACACGTCCACACAGCAGGATTTAGTCCTGTTAAATCCTGTTTTAGTCCTGTTTTGTTTAGTCCTGGTTTAGTCCTGTTTAGTCCTGGTTTAGTCCTGTTTAGTTTTTAGACCTGGTTTAGTCCTGTTTTAGTCATGGTTTAGACCTGGTTTAGACCTGGTTTAGTCCTGTTTTTGACCTGGTTTAGACCTGGTTTAGTCCTGTTTTAGTCATGGTTTAGACCTGGTTTAGACCTGGTTTAGTCTTGTTTTAGTCCTGTTTTAGTCCTTGTTTTAGTCCTGGTTTAGACCTGGTTTAGACCTGTTTTAGTCCTGGTTTTAGACCTGGTTTAGTCCTGTTTTAGTCCTGGTTTTAGACCTGGTTTAGTCCTGGTTTAGTCCTGGTTTAGTCCTGGTTTTAGACCTGGTTTAGTCCTGTTTAGACCTGGTTTAGTCCTGTTTTAGACCTGGTTTAGTCCTGGTTTTAGTCCTGGTTTAGTCCTGGTTTTAGTCCTGGTTTAGTCCTGGTTTAGTCCTGGTTTAGTCCTGGTTTTAGTCCTGGTTTAGTGTCCAGCAATGAGTTACCGGAAACAAAAACAAAAAAAAGGGATTTAGCCCAAAATATGAAAACAGGAAAATATCGCCGTGTAATCCATTTATTTCAACAAAGTAACTGTAATCCAATTACCACTCACTGAAACAGTAACTGTAACTGAATACAGTTACTCATAGTTTGATTACATAACTCCAGTACATGTGTACATCTGTTACTCCCCAACACTGCTTGTTAATATGTTAATAAGTGTTAGATGTTTATAAGTGAACTCTAAAATAAAGTGTTACCGTAGTTTTTTTTTTTTTAACATTCAAAATCCTCTCAGTGCTTTTATTGTCGTCTTTTTTAAACAAAAGGCGCAGACGTTCACAAATAATCAGAAGAGTCTAATGAAAACTTAACAGAACGCTGGAGTTGTGTGAAAGTGATACTAAAATTCCATGACTTTTCCAGGATTTCCATGACCGCGGGAACCCTGATATCAGTACATATGAGCGTTTTATATTATTTTATCATGTTTTGCACGTGACCATAAACTGTTAATATATAAATGAACAAAGCTGGAAGTCGCCACGTTCCAAACAGGAAGTGAGCACGGGCGCGTTTCCAGCTCCATCCACTCACTTTGTATTGTAAAAGATAAACTTCTTCCTACTTAATTTTTTAACATTCATTTGGTTCTCTGTATTTTATTTTATTTATTTATTTTTGTTTTATTAAAGACAACAGAACATAACATTTAACAAACTACAATAATCAATAAAACAATCATAAAAAACATAAAAAGTAAATAATCATAAAAACAAAACACAAAAACATAGAACAACATCCACAACAAATATGAGCTGTGCAGTTGTAGGGAGTATTATCTGTTACATAAAGGTGAGTTGTACAGTTGTAGGGAGTATTATCTGTTACATAAGGGTGAGTTCTTGTACAGTTGTAGGGAGTATTATCTGTTATATAAGGGTGAGGTTTTGTACAGTTGTAGGGAGTATTATCTGTTACATAAAGGTGAGTTGTACAGTTGTAGGGAGTATTATCAGTTACATAATAGTGAGTTGTTGCACAGTTGTAGGGAGTATTATCTGTTATATAAGGGTGAGTTGTTGTACAGTTGTAGGGAGTATTATCTGTTACATAAGGGTGAGTTGTTGTACAGTTGTAGGGAGTATTATCTGTTACATTGTACAGTTGTAGGGAGTATTATCTGTTACATAAGGGTGAGTTGTTGTACAGTTGTAGGGAGTATTATCTGTTACATAAGGGTGAGTTCTTGTACAGTTGTAGGAGTATTATCTGTTATATAAGGGTGAGTTGTTGTACAGTTGTAGGGAGTATTATCTGTTATATAAGGGTGAGTTGTTGTACAGTTGTAGGGAGTATTATCTGTTACATAAGGGTGAGTTGTTGTACAGTTGTAGGGAGTATTATCTGTTATATAAGGTGAGTTGTTGTACAGTTGTAGGGAGTATTATCTGTTATATAAGGGTGAGTTGTTGTACAGTTGTAGGGAGTATTATCTGTTATATAAGGGTGAGTTGTTGTACAGTTGTAGGGAGTATTATCTGTTATAAGTTGTAGGGGAGTATTATCTGTTATAAGGTGATTGTTGTACAGTTGTACAGTTGTTGAGTTTAATATTGTTATATAAGTAGTTGTTGTACAGTTGTAGGGAGTATTATCTGTTACATAAGGGTGTTGTACAGTTGTAGGAGTATTATCTGTACATAAGGGTTGTACAGTTGTAGGGAGTATTATCTGTTACATAAGGGTGAGTTGTTGTACAGTTGTAGGGAGTATTATCTGTTACATAAGGGTGAGTTGTTGTACAGTTGTAGGGAGTATTATCTGTCACATAAGGGTGAGTTGTTGTACAGTTGTAGGGAGTATTATCTGTTACATAAGGGTGAGTTGTTGTACAGTTGTAGGGAGTATTATCTGTTACATAAGGGTGAGTTGTTGTACAGTTGTAGGGAGTATTATAGTATGAATATAGTCTTGTATCTCTCTGTTTGAGCTGTAGGAGTCTGTTGGAGAATGAGCTCCTCTGTCTTTTTGTACAAAATAGTGAAATAAAAACATCAGGATCATTTTAAATTTAAATGAACATTTTAAAACCAAAATGACGAGTTTGAGCTTCATGTTCATTTACACAAACACATTTCTGTAATTTGGCAAAACAAATGACAATTTATGCTCCTCTTTACTGTTGGCAGGATCAGATTAGTCAAAAATTGTGATAGTCCTGATGTAGTCCTGGTTTAGTCTTAGTGTAGTCCTGGTTTAGACCTGATGTAGTCCTGGTTTAGTCTTAGTTTAGTCCTGGTTTAGTCCTGATGTAGTCCTGGTTTAGTCTTAGTTTAGTCCTGGTTTAGTCCTGGTTTAGACCTGATGTAGTCCTGGTTTAGTCTTAGTTTAGTCCTGGTTTAGTCTTAGTTTAGTCCTGGTTTAGTCCTGGTTTAGACCTGATGTAGTCCTGGTTTAGTCTTAGTTTAGTCCTGATTTAGACCTGTTAGTCCTGTTTAGTCCTGATTTAGACCTGGTTTAGTCTTAGTTTAGTCCTGGTTTAGACCTGATGTAGTCCTGGTTTAGACCTGATGTAGTCCTGGTTTAGTCTTAGTTTAGTCCTGGTTTAGACCTGATGTAGTCCTGGTTTAGACCTGATGTAGTCCTGGTTTAGTCCTGGTTTAGACCTGATGTAGTCCTGGTTTAGACCTGATGTAGTCCTGGTTTTAGACTTAGTTTAGTCCTGGTTTAGACCTGAGTAGTCCTGGTTTAGTCCTGATGTAGTCCTGGTTTAGTCCTGGTAGTTTAGTCCTGGTTTAGACCTGATGTAGTCCTGGTTTAGTCCTGGTTTAGTTTAGTTTAGTCCTCGTTTAGTCCTGGTTTAGACCTGGTTTAGACCTGGTTTAGACCTGGTTTGGTCCTGGTTTGGATCAAATTGATCAAAACTAGAGACACCTGGGACATTTCTTGTACAAATCAGTGGAGTTGTGCGTCGCTGTGAGTCTGACGACACAGAACATGTCATGATTTACATGATATGTACAATACATGTAGTGAAAAATATTATTTAAAACATCAGGATCATTTTAAACAAACATTTTAAAACCAAAATGACGAGTTTGACAGCAGCAGTTACAGCGAAAGACGACGATTTTTCAATACACAGTGAATTGGAGCCAGAGTCGATGGAGCTGGAAGTGCGCCCGTGCTCGCTTCATGTTTGGAACGTGTCGGCAGGCGGTTTAGCTGTGTCCATTTATAAAAACAGTGTATGGGCGGAATAAAATGTATCAGTTCGTGCACCTCTGCAGTCTGCAAATCAAAATGATAAAAACCATGAAACAGATGAAGTAAATGTGAAAGTAAATAGTGAAAAACTGTGATTGTGACGGAGCTTTGTTCATATCTGCAGCCCGAGTACAAGTACAAGGCTGAACATTTCAATAAGTCTATGACCGACTTCTTTTTGAATGGATCTCGTTCTTCACTCGTGTGTACACGGAGTCCTCAGATGCCCCCGCTGGCACTGGCACTGGCACAGACACCGGCTTTTTACACAAACGGCACCAAAACCGAACAGTCTGGCGCTTCCACGGGCTGAAATGTGGCTTCATATTTTATCTCCATCGAGTTCTGCGCTCTTCGCTGTACGTGTGGTCTGTGGCGGTTGCTGGGGGGGAGTTTTAGCTCGGGTCATTTCAGGTCAGCACCATTGTTGAGCCGAATCTCAGCCCTGCGCGTCACCGGTGCCAAAAAAGTACGCTCTGTCCCCGTTATCCGCGCGAACAGGTGGATTCGGCGCGACGTGTGGGTGATGGAGAGGGCAGTGTCCGTTTTATTGTGACATAACCGACCAGAAATGACAGTCATTTCGGTGGCGCACTTAAAAATTCGCGAAGGTACAAAGTGTTCCTGCGCGTTCTGGGTTTTTTGGGGGGAGTTCGGCGTCTCCGGTTCCGGTCGCGCTGGAGAGTGTCACTGCGGAGCGTGCGTGAGCCGCGCGGAGGGCTCCATCATCTGAATGCGCGGTGGCAACCTGCGGTGAAACTTTTCAAGACAAGTCTCGTATGGAGAGGGTGCATTCGGGGACAAGCCGCAGCCAATGGGCGAGCGCGCACGATGACGCTGCGCACCGGCGGCGGGCAGCGGCACGCCCCCAGCATGGATACAGAGAGCAGGACCGGGCGCTCCAGAGACGCGCTCACGGTTCTGTGCGGGAGTGTCGGAGCCGAGATGGGACTTAACGCGTCCGAGTCGGGGGAATGAACGCCGCTGGGCACTTTTGGAGAGGAATAAGAAGAGTTTAGGTCGCGTTTGGCCGCGCGCGTAACGGGAGGTGTGCGTCGGTTTGTGTTAAGAGGCGTTTCTCTCACAGGATGTGGGTGATACTGGAGGCCGGTGGGTAAGATCATAAACTCAGATGAGAACCACCTCCTCCTTCCTTCAGCTGTGCTTTGCTACACAAAGGGAACCACGGAACAAACTACTTTCCAGCGCCACAACTGTCGCTTTCGTTTTAATGTCAGTGATCAGCGGGAGGGGCGGTTTTAAAGACAAAATGGATCACTTTGCAGCAGAGTGCCTTGTCTCCATGTCCCACCGCGCAGTTGTCCACGCTCCTAAGGGAAACCGAGAGATTAAACCCGAGATCCCGTGCGCACCCAAGCCCGTGGAGGACCTCAAAGAACCCCTGGTGAGGGACAACTCTTCTCTGTTCGTCGTGGCGCGGATCCTGGCCGATTTCAACCAACAGACTCCAACCCACAACGCTGCTATTGAACAGGCTAAAATAATCAAGGATGACAGCATGAACCTCAGAGACGATAATGATGATGATGATGATGGAAACTGTGCCACACCTACCACCATCTCCGACCCCGCGCTCAAACAAAGAGGCAAAAGGAGCCGAGGGCGCAGCGAGCAGGAAACGCCGCAAAAAAAGCACAAATGTCACTATTCGGGGTGCGAAAAAGTTTATGGCAAATCCTCCCACCTCAAAGCCCATCTAAGGACACACACAGGTCAGTGCGTGGCTGCGGCGGTGTGTTGTGAGAGTAACTTGGTGTGCAGAAATGCGGGGATGCTGTTGAAAAAAAACCGTGTCGAAGGTTGATTTCCGAAGTGTTTCTACTGTACTGTGATACTCAGGCTCCTGTTTTGGGGAGAGGCGGGGGACTGGAGGGAGGGAGGGGGGGTGTCGTGTCGGGTCAATCAAGGATACACCCCAAAAAAAAAAAAAAAAGCACAATGAGGCCAGAGCGCGCTGCCACCACGCCGCCGTTCCGTAAATATCGCGTAATGCGTCGCGTTCGTTCGAGAGTCGCGCAAACTTTTTTAGAGATTTCCTTTTATATTCGTAAACGGGGGAGAAGGGAGGAAGGGAGGGGAGGGTGAGAGTGAGAGGAGAGACGACGCGCGCCACTCCCACTCAAGTAAGAGCTTTTGTCGGGGCGTTAACCGCTCGCAACCCCCTCGTGCGTCTCCGCGTGTGCGGCGGGGGACGCTGCAGTGCGCGTTTCCCCACATTTCTTCGCGTTTGTTTACGTCTGGGGGGAGAAAAAAAGAAACGTAAAGGGAAAACGACACGGTGCGTAAAGAGGAGAGGAGAGAAAAGAGCCACGGGAGGAGGAAGAAGAAGAAGAAAAGGGACGGTCTCCTTCGCAGTCTTAGGTCCAAACATGTGTCCGTGCGCATTCCTCCGCTGCTCGTGGGGGGGAGACAGATGCGGGGTTTTTTTTTTGAGGGGGCATAGAGCGGTGCCCGTCTTGCCCACAGCTCTTTGTTTTGATGTGCCACACCCCCGCGAGACGCACACTGCCAGCTGATCTGGCCAGCAACAGACTGAGCTAGCAGAGCCACGACGCACCGGCTCCTACTGCAGGTTCCCCCTCCGCTCGAGTCAGGCACAAAACACACCCTGGTCTGAAACGGGGGGGTTATTCCAGGCCAGGGAAGAAAAAGAACAACAAAACACAGAATACACAGAGTACACAGAGTACATAGAGTACACAGAGTACACGGGGTGATCAGGTTGTCAGAATTCTAAACTGGGACACACCTGGGTTCAGATGGTTGATAAAAATAAAATAGTGACTGAAAAGAGTGAGAAAGTGGGAGAGGAGTGAGTGTGTGTCAGTCTGTCATGGATTTTTTTTGCGTTATGGTCATTTGCAAACACGGATTTATGGATTTTTGGCGACATAAATTAAATTTTATGTTCATTTTTACTGTTGTCAGGGTCAGATTAGTCAAAAAATTGTGATAATCCTGGTTTAAAGCTGTTTTAGACCTGGTTTAGACCAGATGTAGTCCTGGTTTAGTCTTAGTTTAATCCTGGTTTAGACCTGGTTTAGACCTGGTTTAGACCTGGTTTAGTCCTGGTGTAGTCCTGATGTAGTCATGATTTAGACCTGATGTAGTCCTGGTTTAGACTTGATGTAATACTGGTTTAGACCTGTTGTAGTCCTGGTTTAGTCATAGTTTAGTCCTGATTTAGTCCTGATGTAGTCCTGGTTTAGTCCTGGTTTAGTCCTGATGTAGTCCTGATTTAGACCTGTTGTAGTCCTGGTTTAGTCCTGGTTTAGACCTGATGTAGTCCTGGTTTAGTCCTGATGTAGTCCTGATTTAGACCTGATGTAGTACTGGTTTAGTCTTAGTTTAGTCCTGATGTAATCCTGGTTTAGACCTGTTGTAGTCCTGGTTTAGTCCTGGTTTAGACCTGATGTAGTCCTGGTTTAGTCCTGGTTTAGTCCTGGTTTAGTCCTGATGTAGTCCTGATTTAGACCTGATGTAGTCCTGGTTTAGTCTTAGTTTAGTCCTGATGTAATCCTGGTTTAGTCCTGGTTTAGACCTGGTTTAGACCTGGTTTAGACCTGGTTTAGACCTGGTTTAGACCTGGTTTAGTCCTGGTTTAGACCTGGTTTAGTCCTGGTTTAGTCCTGGTTTAGTCCTGGTTTAGACCTGGTTTAGACCTGGTTTAGTCCTGGTTTAGTCCTGGTTTAGCTCCTGCAGGTTCCCTCCACTTTCAGGCACAAAACACCCTGGTCTGAACAGGGTTATTTCAGGACAGAGAAGAACAGAACAACAAAACACAGAGTACACAAAATACACAAAATACACAAAATACACAGAGTACACAGAGTACACAAAATACACAGAATACACAGAGTACACAGAATACACAAAATACACAGAATACACAAAATACACAGAGTACACAGAGTACACAGATACACAGAGTACACAGAGTACACAGAGAATACACAGAATACACAGAATACACAGAATACACAAAATACACAGAGTACACAGAGTACACAAAATACACAGAGTACACAGAGTACACAGAATACACAGAATACACAGAAATACACAAAATACACAGAATACACAGAGTACACAAAGAATACACAGAGTACACAAAATACACAGAATACACAGAGTACACAGAATACACAGAAATACACAGAATACAGTACACAAAATACACAGAGTACACAGAATACACAGAGTACACAAAATACACAGAGTACACAAAATACACAGAATACTACAACTACACAGAGGACACACAATACACAGAGGTAATACACAGAGTTACACAGAATACACAGAGTATACACAGAATACACAGAGTACACAGAGAAGATTACTACAGTACACAGAATACACAGGTATTTACACAGATACTCAGTTACACAAATTTATACACATGGTCATTTGCGTCATTTGCGAACACTGATTTATGGAATTTGGCAAAATAAATGATAATTTATGCTCCTTTTTACTGTTGTCAGGATCAGATTAGTCAAACAATTGTGATAATTCTGGTTCAGTCCTGGTTTAGACCAGATGTAGTCCTGGTTTAGACCTGATGTAATCCTGGTTTAGTCCTGGTTTAGTCTTAGTTTAGTCCTGGTTTGTACTTGGTTTAGTCCTGGTTTAGTTTTAGTCTAGTCCTGGTTTAGACCTGATTTAGTCCTGGTTCAGGTCTAAACCAGGACTAAACCAGGACTAAACTAGGACTAAACTAAGACTAAACCAGTCCTACATCAGGTCTAAACCAGGACTGCATCAGGACTAAACCAGGTCTAAACCAGGACTAAACCAGGACTACATCAGGTCTAAAACAGGACTAAACCAGGACTACATCAGGACTAAACCAGGACAAAACCAGGTCTAAACCAGGACTAAATCAGGTCTAATCCAGGACTGCATCAGGACTAAACCAGGTCTAAACCAGGACTAAACCAGTCCTACATCAGGTCTAAACCAGGACTGCATCAGGACTAAACCAGGTCTAAACCAGGTCTAAACCAGGACTAAACCAGGACTACATCAGGTCTAAAACAGGACTACATCAGGACTAAACCAGGACTAAACCAGGACAAAACCAGGACTAAACCAGGACTACATCAGGTCTACTGTCGGGCGAACGAATCCTAACGCTGCGAGGTTGACGAATCAGACTAACAAATCAGTGGTTTTGTATAAATCTGCTGGGACAGGGGAGACGGGACTCAAACCTGGGACCATCCCGGGTAAACTGGGACCGTCCCGGGTAAACTGGGACCGTCCCGGGTAAACTGGGACCGTCCCGGGTAAACTGGGACGTCTGGACACCCTAAAAACCCGACACAGATTCTAACAAAAACACACAGGAAACACTTTTGTGCCGTTTGTCTGGGCAAAGCTGGTCCGCTGGTGCCAGTGTCTTACCACACATTTACATTAATCACCATCACTAAACAACCATAAACCGCAGTCGGACCAGCGTTATTACTTGGTCTGGAATGTTCCACAGTACGGCATTAAACCTTTTTAGCCTCACGGAGACCAAACCGAGCAAAGTTACAGCTCAGATCTGTGCAGAATACCAGTTTTTGTTGGCATTTTTGAGCTTTAAAACCACCTGTAACTGACTAAACGCGAAGTAGAGCTGCTGAAAAGTAACATCGCCATAGCAACGAGCAGGCAAAAAGGTTCTGCAGTGCTGGTCGTTCTTAAAAAATGGCGATATAACGCAGAATATCGCGTCTGTTTTATCGATTACGGAGCGCGTCGTGATAATATCGTATCGCGACCCGTGCGTTTCGCGATTCCCAGGCTTCCGCGCGTCGTCGGATTTTTCGGATTTTCGGGTTAAATTGAAAGCGGGCGCCGTAGATTTTCGGTTTTGGGTCGGAGCCGCGGGCGTCGTCGTCGTTTTGTGCGTCATTGTGCTGGAAAAGAATAAGATTTGAAGCGACAGTAGAGAGACAAACGTAGGGGACGTGTGCAGAGGGAATAAGACGTAAAAGGGTCAGGGTTCTATAGGTGTGTGTGTGTGTGTGTGTGTGTGTGTGTGTGTGTGTTGTGTTTCGGTGCCAGTGGAGTCGGCTTCCCTCTTGTGATTTCAGATTAGGACACACTGTACCGATCCCATTGGTCCCAGTGTTAGTCATCTCTGAGAAAAAGAGCCTCGCCAAATGTGAAGGAAAATCTGTCTCCGCACCGTCTCTCTGTCCTTCTGTCTCTCTCTCTGTCTCTCTCTCTGTCTCTGTCTCTCTCTCTGTCTCTCTGTCTCTGTCTGTCTCTCTCTCTCTCTGTCACCTCACATCCCCTCTGTCTGTGTCTGTCTGCTTCTCTGTCTTTCTGTCTCTCTCTCAGTCTCTTTCTGTCTCCTCACACCTTTTCTGTCTCTCTCTGTCCGTCTGTCTCGGTGTCTCTCTGTCCCTCTATTTATCTGTCTTTCTGTCTATCTCTCTCTGTCTCTCACACCCCGTCTCTCTCTTTGTCTCTCTGTCTGTCTCTTTGTCTGTCTCTCTGTCCTTCTGTCTCTCTATTTCCTCACATTCCCTCTGTCTTTCTGTCTCTGTCTGTCTCTTGTCTCTCTGTCTTTTTGTCTGTCTCCCCACATCCTGTCTCTCGCTTTCTCTTGTCTGTCTGTCTGTCTGTCTCTCAGTTTCTCTCTCTGTCTCCCCACAGCCCCTCTGTCTGTCTCTTGTCTCTCTGTCTCTCTGTCTGTCTGTCTGTCTCCCCA